GAAATTCTGTTTCTTTGTTACTAATGTTGTGGCCCCACCCCATAACAAAGAAACAGAATTTCTGGAGGATGAGGCCCAGAAATCAGGATTTTAAAAAGATTCTCAGGTGATTCTAATGTGCAGCCAAGGTTGAGAACCACTGCCTTAACCTTTACATTTGCTCATGTGTTTAGGGATCTTAACCCATGGACAGTTTCGACCTGTGGCCATCTCCTTGGTCATTGCAAGCGAGGAATACTTGCTGTCCATTCATAAGAGAGTTGATAGTTTGCTTCTCATGGCTCTGCTTCTCCCCTTTCTCTGTAGTGGTTGGTTTTTGGTACTCAGTGGGCCTTTAGACATGCTGTCCTGTGTGACTGTGCTGATCCTCAGGACTTAACAGATGTCCTAGCATGGAAGTCAGTCTGGTGCCTGTAGATACTTCCAAAGGGAGAGCAGACTCTGCCAAGTCTCTGCGGGTGACAGGGAGTGAGCTGGGCCAGCAGGCTTTGGAGCTGTACCTTCCTGTTTCTCAGCCCCCTGAGTGCCAGGCATTGTGCTCAGCACACTTCATGCCTGCCTTTAGTTTCTCCTAAACAGCACCTTCATTTGGTACTGTCATCACCACCACCTCACAGGGTCTTAGGCGCAGGGAGGTCAAGTGACTTGCCCGAGGCCACACAGCTGATCTCCATGGCACGACCTCCACTCTTACCTTGCGCCTTAGTGCCCTCCAGCTTCTTTCCCTTTTGTCAAAGCTGTCCGTGGCTTTTTACTTCGCCATTCTAGTTGAGTTTTTCTCACAAGCCCAGCCCAAGCTGTGCTTTTTATTCCTCATCATCTCGGTGTGTTCCGGCTCAAGTTGATGATCTTGAGGCAAGATCTGTCACTCGCAGAGCCCCGGAGGCTTTAGCAAATGCAGGCTGCCTCGAATGATTCCATCCTGCGTTTTTCTACTTCCCAGGGGTGCCAGCTGCTCACAGTGCTCTTCAGCCTGGGCTCAGGTCCAGAGATATGCTCAGACCTCTAGTGGCCCCAAGCAAGGGGGCCCCCGATAGTCATTCCCTCTGCACACTAACCCCTCTGCCTCTCGTGTGGCAGCGAAGGGCAGCA